TGAACACTATTAGTTTTGACACTGGCACATCTTACCCTCGAAGCATCTGACATAGTTTAGCCCGCATTTTTCAAAGAAATTAATACTTTAAATTGGTTCCAGTCTTATCTGACAAACAGGAGTTTCTCAGTTAATATTTGCAAATTTCACTCTTCTTCTGTACCTTTGACCTGTGGGGTCCCTCAAGGCTCTACTCTAGCTCCCATGTTATTTTCCTTGTATATGCTTCCCCTCGGATCTATCTTTGAGAATTATGGTATAAGTTATCATTGTTATGCAGATGACACACAAATATATCTTCCTTTGAAACATAAGAACCCGGTGGCCGCGGTGGCCGCCTGCCTCTTGGATGTTAAAGCATGGAGGTCCCTAAAATTTTTAAGTCTGAAAACAGAGATAACAGAGATTGTGGTGAAAAAAAAAAAAATCTACCAAATCTAAATCTTGGTGTTCTGGCACCTTATGTAAAGCCGTACGTGAAAAATCTGGGTGTGGTGTTGGACAGTGCCTTAAAGCTTGATAGACAAGTCAACCAAGTTGTGAAATCAAGCTTCTATCAGTTGCGAACACTGGTAAAAATGAAGTCCTTTCTTTCTTTTACTAATTTTGAAAGAGTAATCCACGCTTTTATCACCACGAGGCTTGATTCCTGTAACTCTCTTTATTTGGGGATCAGTCAATCTTCCTTAAAACGCCTTCAGATGGTTCAAAATGCGGCTGCCAGAGTCCTGACGGGAGCTCAAAAGCGTGAGCATTTAACCCTGTCCTTCAGTCTTTACATTGGTTACCTGTGCGCTACAGGATTAATTTTAAAGTGCTCTTATTGGTTTTTAAGTCTTTAAATGGTTTAGCACCCTCATACCACTCTGATCTGTCGATAGACCACCAACCTGCAAGACCGCTTAGGTCTGCCCATTTAAGGCTCTTAGTGGTTCCTAGAACCAGACTCAAGTCTAGGGGTGATCGAGCAAGAATAGTCTTCCTACAGAAATCAGAACACTACACTATCCATTTTTAAATCTAGGTTAAAATCATTTTTATTTGATCTGGCTTATTATTCATGATTTACATTTGCTTTGCCTTGTGCCTTGCAGTTTTATTTGTGACCTTGTCTTTGTTTTAATTCTGTTAATGGTTACTTACTTTGTACAGCACATTGGGCAACGGTAGTTGTGTTTAGTTGTGCTTTATAAATAAAGTGAAATTGAAATTGAGTAGAGATGGATGTTGGTATCGTTCCCCTTACCGATATAAAATGCACACCAACAGCGGCTACTTGCTTGCTCATAATAGATATATTTTTTGGATATCCGTCTTGTTTTCTATCAATTAATTATTTTTATTATAATTTTTGTCATAGCGTTAGTGACATTATCATAGATATGTATGCATATCTATGGACACACAGTTACTGACGTTCGTACTGTAGTAGATGACAGATACATCAACACACCATCAGATTCATCCGCGGATTCCGCACAGCGCAGAGACAACGCACAACTCACGTAACTACCATAACAATGTTCCTCTGCAAGTAACCTGTCATTTTGTGCTTCATCCGCTAGAGGACCTAAAGTTGCGTAGTTTTCATTATTTGATAATGAGCAGCTTTTGAGTTTAAGTTGTATTTACCTGGAATATTCCTAAAATTTTGTCAGAGAAAGTCAAATATTCTGTGTCTTGCCGTTGCAGGTCAACCCTAATAGCATTGCTGCTAAAGATGGCCGAATCCGTGAGGGAGACAGAATACTGCAGGTAACTGATCGACTGCCTTAAAAAACACAAATTAAGTTGAGTTTAAGGTTAGTGGCTTGAACAACATTCTTTTTAATAGTGAGCTAGTGGATGTTGATCGTTTGGGGAAAAGATGCACTTTAATTCTCTGCTTATAAATACTCCTTCCAAATACCTTAAGATGTTTATCATTGTCTTTAAAGTCATCGCCTTTAAAGTTGTCCAAATGAAGTTCTTAGCAATGCATATTACTAATCGAAAATTAAGTTTTGATATATTTACGACAGGAAATTTACAAAATATCTTCATGGAACATGATCTTTACTTAATATCCTAATGATTTTTGGCATTAAAAATTTTTATAATTTTGACCCATACAATGTATTGTTGGCTATTGCTACAAATATACCAGTGATATTTAAGACTGGTTTTGTGCTCCAGGGTCACATATGTGATGTGAAATGATGCTAATGTGTATCTGTGCTCAGATAAATGGGATGGATGTCCAGAACAGAGAGGAAGCTGTGGCCATCCTGACCAGAGAGGACAGCACCAACATCTCTCTGCTACTGGCACGACCAGATATTGAGGTGAGACTCACCTTGAAGTTATTGGAATAAACCATAATAAATACTGTAGGCCTATATTTGCACAGTCAGATATGATCACTTTATTCAATTAAGTTAATCGCTTTGGCAGTGTTTCCTACATAATTTTCTTGCAGCAGGGGGAGTGTAATTGAAAGACATGTTGTCAATTTATTGTCTTTGAATCGTTTTGAGGCACCCAGCCTTTATCTCACTGCATTCAATTCAAAGCGTGAACTCATAACTCGAGTAAATATAATTTATTTTGCAGTGGATTTAATAGTGGTACAGCGCCACTGCCGGAAACACTGCGCTTTGGTGAATGACAAAGTATTACTGAAGCCATTAATGGCAACAGATTTGATATTCAGACATTACGTGAAGTGTATTCTGCTTATTCAAGCAGTAACAGACAAATGTGTTTTAGTGTACAGGTGGACACATGGCTTCATTCTGTTCTCTGTTTACAAATGAAAACAGACAGGAGAGGTCAGAGTAGGACAGAAACCCCGACGAGGAAATTACTGGAGAGGAAAATGGCAGAGAAAAAAAAAACAAGGAGAGACAAGGACACACAGGGTCGGTTCGGCAGTCTTTTGTTCTACTCAAGGTTATGCTTGAGAGAGAAACACACTTAGGACATCCCATAATACACCACCTCCAACAGCGAGTCACCATGTCCATTTAATTTCCTTCGACAGATTTCCATGGCAGTCTGAGACTTCGGCTGTGTTCGGAATGGAATAGTAGCTACTACTTACTGAACACTGTATATTACACTATATATATATATATATATCAATAAATAAAAGTAGCCATTATTATACAATAAACAATTCAAACTGTAGCATGCTATATTATCACATGACCATATTGCATTGCAGGTGTGACATCCATTTATCATATTGGAAATTATTTTCCATTTTCATCTCAATTTTGTATAAAATACCTTAAAATTGGCATATTCATTACTGCAGATACAGTTTAATCCATCACACTGAAATTGAAGGTCAACTTGAGTGCATTGCATTGTGGGACATATAGTATTCCATGCAGTGTTCAAGATTGAAAAAGGCTCATTTTGACAAGGGAAATAAAATCAGATGACAAATCTACAACGGAGCAAAGAGAGAGAATCAAAATCAACAAACAAGTTTGTTTAACACAAAAATGATGAACAATGTCTTTCTTTGTGACTCCCACTGCGTGCGAGTCTCTTTATTGATTGGTCCCAAACCTCATTGTCTGTCAACATGCTTTAACAACCAGCTTTATCATCTTTAGCCCATGTGGAAGCCATAGCAACAGTCCGTATCCCACTGGTAAATATTTAAATAAAACATAATGCAAACCCCGGAGGAATGACCCAGTTCATGAATACAAATAGACCAAGTCAACAGGCATGTTTATGAAGTTCATTTGGCATGATGCTATTTGAAACAAAGCTGTGCAAGGAAAACAAAGTCATCAAGATATCAAAAAAATACATCTTATTTGCATATAATAATCCTGATATATTAAGTATAGAAAGATGCTCATCTGGAACCCACAAAGACAGATATTTTTCTTTATTAAAATGTACAAGTTTATAGGTTATGTCGATGAAAAGGCTTCATATAATCAATTGGTCTGAATAAAACTCATTTGGGCCCAGTTCTAAAATAAAATTCTATCTGTAATTGTATTCAATATCTAAAATACTTGTACATGTATTCATGAATTTGGTATGAAGTAAAAAAAATCTAACTGTGATTTGTTTTTAAAGAACAGTTAGTGGGAAGATGATTAAAACCAGAGATGAGAATATTCTACAGATTCCACAGTTTTTAGGATTTGGGGTCAGTAGCACACAAGTGTGTGTGTGTGTGTATGTTGTGTGTTTTATGGACGCTCCAGATGGTGTGTGAGCCCTTGGGCTAGTATATTCCCCAGCACAGGTGGCTCATTTGAGAAACCTCTCACGTTTAGATGTCTCCTACAACAGATGGGAAAAGACCCTGCAATCATTTACAGTATCCAGACTTGGGCTTACTCAGACAAACATTGCCCTCTGCTGCTTAAACAAGGACGTTTTAATGTGGTTGCTGCTTTAGACTAGTGCACGTGTCAAACTCCGGCCCTGGATGGCGACTGTCCTGCAGAGTTTAGCTTTTTTTTTTTAGCTGGTTCAGGTAGGTTTAATTAGAGCTGGTGCTGAACTCCGCAGGACAGTCGCCCTCCAGGAACTGAATCTGACATCCCTGGACTAGTGGATCCCAGCCACGTACATGAGAGCAAATAGCACACATTTTACATGTCTCATTAGTCAAACTCACCTGATTGAGGTCATTAGCTCATCAGTAGAGACTCAGTAGAGCTGGGTAGTAACTGATTACATGTAATCTGGATCATTAAGTACTTGTAATTACATTAAATTACATTTGAAAATACTCGTAATGAGACTACAGTTACTTTTTTATTGATTACATATTATTTACATAATAGCAATAAATGATACATAATTTGTTGATTCTGCCTAATTCCTCTTTTAAATGTTCCTTTCTAAAATAGCCTACCGCTTATATATGTTCAGAAAGTCTTTCAGTTTTGTGGACGTTCACACAAAGACCAGTCACTCGTCAGGTGGCTGCACAGCATTTGACCACTGGATTTACAAAATCATTTCAGCTTTAAGAAGTGTTTCAACATTACATCATCTACTGATGAAATTATTTTTATTTGAATTACTCAGTGGGTTAATTAACCATGTATTATTAAGTCTTTGGAAGTCTTTTGTCTTTCAGACAAATTCACGTTATTTCACACTTACATGTAATGTTGGGATTCCCAAACTTGTTTGGTCATCTGAACCTCTTTCACCTAATATATTTACTTGAAGTACCACTGAAATGTTAAAATAAATATTTTAATAATTAAGTTCCAAATTGTTCATGGTTCTCTGACGTTGGTTAATGGTCACATGACATGCAGGTAAACTAATTATTTCATTTTTTAGTAAGTGTTTTTTTATGTTATTTTAAATCAATTTCATTTTCATTTTACATGTTTATGATTTAATTATTAGCTTTTCATTAAACTCATGAACCTCCTGCAATTCTATGAACCTCAGTTTTAGCTTAACGTAATATAATGTTTAATGCACTTGTTAATAACAATGAATGGAATATTTTCTTACTTTTTGTATTTTTATGTCAGTATGGTACAAGATTATCCTATTTAAATCATTGTGATAAATGAGTTAGGTCAAAAGTAATCTAAAAGTAGACCGATTATATTACCTAAAATGTGTAACGTAATGGATTACTTTACTAACTACAATTAGCAAATAATCTACCCAGCTCTGAGACCTGAAATGGGTGTGTCAGACAAAAGAGTCATGCAAAATGTGCATTGTTGTGAATCACTGCTTTACACCAATCAGAATGTTGTTGTTTTTTTCAACACATTTGTCTGCACACAATTCTTAACGTGATTTTAATATTTTACTAATTCAGTTTTTTTTTTCCTTTTCCCATTTTGTAATATTCCAAACATGCATTCTTGGCAGAATGAGGCTGATGATCTGGATTTGGAGTTGGGCGAGGGCCTGGATCTAGAGGACTTGGAAAATGTCTCGAACTCACCCAGTCCTCAGCACCGAAGGAAAACCAGCTCTGTGCTGAGTGACATCAATGGGATCCGAGCTGCTCGACCCAACTTATGGCACACTGCTCTCAATAACAGCCAGGAGCTGGACAGCGGGGTGGGTCGCACCGATGAAAGTACACGCTGTGAGGAGTCCTCCGAGCTGGCTGACGATGCCACCAGCGCATGCACGACCAATGCCACCAATACACCTGGCAGTTTGCGCAAGTTTCGAGCAGCTCAGCACGGATGGGAATTTCACTACAGCAACGACTCGCTGCTGGGGCCAGATGCAGTGGGAGCAGTGGATCACGGGGCTCCTGAATCACTGCCAGGGTCAATGATACCAGGGTTAACTGAAGAGGAATATGAACGCTACCGAGAGCTACTGGAGATCCGCTGCCTTTACGAGAAGAACAGAAATGCACTTTTTCTTTTGGATGGAAGGAACCATGGTGGAGGAGTTGGGGATTTTGCAGGAGCAGGTGTTCCTGTAGACATGAATTGTAACGAGAGCCTGATGCAGCACGAAATTGCTCTTCTCGATGAGGAAATACGTCACCTGGAGTTTAAGTGGCGCAATGTTTTGCGGGCTCAAAAGATGCAGCAGTTGCGCCAACGCTGCCTAAAGGTCTGGCCAGCTGATGAAGAGGACGATGAAGAAAAAGGAGCAAAGGCAAGGTGTGGAGGTGCAGAGGCGATCCACCATGACCTGTCGGATATCAACGAGATCCCAGAAAGGGAACGCTCTGATAAAGAGAGCACAAGCGCTGGAAGGTAAAGATCCGCAGCGACGGCTCGCGTTATGTCGCCAAACGTCCGGTAAGAGATCGTTTGCTAAAGGCTCGTGCCATGAAGATTCGAGAGGAGCGCAGTGGGATGACCACGGACGATGATGCGGTCAGTGAAATGAAGATGGGACGTTATTGGAGCAAGGAGGAACGTAAGCAGCAGCTGCTGAGAGCTCGCGAGCAACGGCGACGCCGTGAGTTCATGATGCAGAGCCGACTGGACTTCTTGCGGGAGAAAGAGAAGGAACAAGACTCCGGACCTCAAGGACAGGCTTCCATACTTGAGCTGAGCCAGAAAAAGAGTATGAAGAAACGCAGTCGACGCATCCTGGACAACTGGATCACCATTCAGGAGCTGCTGGCACATGGGACCCGCTCTGTAGATGGGAAGAAAGTGTTCAACCCTTTGCTGTCCGTGACCACTGTTTAATAATTGGTGTGAAGTGAGACCTTTTAACAAGGAAAAAGTAACGATATTTGGATTACAGAGTTTACCGATTATTTGCGACTGTCTGACAAAGATGCCTTGCAGTTTAATCCAGAAATGTTGATGATGAATATAAATGTACAAGACAGAAAGGCTAATGGCAAATTAATGTAAATTTTTCATAATTAACATGAACTCCGGGAGCATCTCTCTGTTCCTATACATTGCTTTGATGCTTGATATTTCAGAGTCACTCTCAGACTGTTACAATGCAGTGGTGGTCTTGAGCATTTCCAAACCTGATTAAAACATTAATTTCTTTCATAAACACTTTTCAGTCTGAGAACATTTCATGATAAGAGAAAAAAGTTCAGGGGCCTATTGCTTGAACTGACTAGTAGTCATCTCTCTTTTTTCAAGACTAGTCGTAACTTTTTAACTTCATAACTTAAGTTAAGAAACATATTAACATATTGGCAGTGTTTATGCAACTGGCCCCAGAAGTTAACCTGGTGATTGGTTGAGAATTTATGTGTGGTTTTGTTTACTGGTAAATGTAAAAAGTTTGCAAAAGAACAAGAAAAGAATGAGCCATTACTTAACTGTTGACTTACGGAGTTCACAATTTTAGAAGCACATGAATCCATTTAACAAAAGAACCAAAAAGCACATTGACAAAAAGTACAAAAGCAGGAAATTTTCAGCACACAAATATTGGCACATCAAAAGGTAATGTCAATTGTCAAACACTGACATTGTCCAAAGAAAAATAAATCTGATTGTATATTTTTGTGGTACATTTGTCAGCATTCAAGGAACAAATCAGACGTTATTACTTAAAATTATTTTGTTGTCAGCTTGCAACACCACATTTCAGACTGACTCTTTGATATTGTAAAAAAAAGTTGCATGTTCTTGTCTGGGAAATGTTTAAATGATGTTGTGTGAAACTGTCGAGTGACGTTTTTGCTGTGTCTTCTGTAATACTTGTCAACAGGACATTAATATATTGTGTCCAAATGTTCATTTAACATCTTGCAGGTCTAAAATGAAGGAATTTCTGCTCCTAAATGTTTTTGAATAAAACTTTTGCAACTTCATCAAGTTTCAACCATTATTTGCAAAAAGCTTGAAACACTTCAATACAGAAATCAAATGTAAATCAAAACACAATGGCTTTAGCACATTCATGTTTACACTAAACAAAATGAGCTGAAGACGGTTTGTAAATCAAATAAAAATATACATTTATATGTAATATTCTTCTTTTACCACTTAAAGTTTTGGATTAAATGAAAAAAAAAAAACCACAGGTCACTGGATACCATCTCTTCATTTATTGGATGTACAATTATGAAAAATAATAATCATAAAAAAGACTGGAAGCCCAAGATTATTTACAATCGTTCTTTGATTCTGTGGAAAAGTCTCATGCTCACTTACATCATGATATGTTGAGCTTTAAAAAGACGTTCCTCGCTAGATGACAAAAACATGACCAAAAAGTTAAAGAAAAAAAAAATACATACAGTACATACATATACATATATAGAGAGAGAGATCTATAAAAGCAGAATCATTCAAGTATCAAAAGACAGACCACCCAGGATTACTTTACAATTCGATATTGTTTATTTTTTAATCATTTAGCCAAGAATATGATCCGAACTCTCACTGTTGTATTTGCTAACATTGTTATTAGTTGTGCAAACACTGCAGCTGTTACAGGTGCTAGCATTAGCATCTGCTTGTATTTAGCACTGTAACCATTTTTAACGTACCATGTTAAAAACGAAGAAAAAAAATCTAAATAAAAAGTACCAGACTTAAAATCCTTGTAAACTAGGGCTAAATGAATACAGGAATATTTCCCATCTACACCTCATATTTATGTATCATTATCTACAGAAAACATAAGCACAGGTTCGTCCATGACAGATGACTATGCAAATTAAAAATGTTAAACCTTTTCGTTTTTATTTTTTAGACATACCCTGATTTCTGCAACTTAATCATTAAAGAAAAGACACAAAACTCTACACATAAAAGCAACTCGCTGTTGTTTGTAGTGTCACATTAACGCCATTATTTTGTATAAGAAATCACAGTATACGTGTAAGAGTCACTACAAGTACCAGGATCCGGACTGTACCATTCTCATGCCATCATGAACTTATTAACTTATCAATATAGTGTACCATAAGACATCACAACACAGAGTATCTCTCACTAATCTGGCACCAAGCTTCTGTCTGTGACCTTCAAAGGCCAAACCGTTCCTATTGAAACTCGCACCGTAGTTCACAATTCTTATGTTTGAATGGTCTTGCCCATATTGTTTAACTTGACAAACATTTGTACTAAAGCCTGTTGGTCACCTGACTTAAAATACTGACAGTAAGAATCAAACTTACGGATGGATTGATCTTAATTTGACATCAAAAGACACGACTGTTGTCTCTAATCAGTGTTTTGCTGAACTGGAATCAGTGTTTCTAACTTGCTGGATTTATTTTCGAAGATATCAGACAAAATAAAAGCATCTACGCTTTGTGAGATGAAAGACCATCAGTTTAGACGACAGAATCACAGACAAAACAGGGGCGTGTAGACTGTCGCTTCACAATAAAAATAAAACAAAACTCAAAGAAATCAAAGCAAAGGCAACGTCAACACTGGCTCTTGTTATTGCGGGAGAATACAGTGACTGCTGTGTTTCCAGTGTTAGTCCTTGAATGCGTCAGTCAGAAATCTGATAAAAGCCAGATGTTTTTCAGAGGGAGAGGGGTTTTGGTAAGTGTGTTAAACTGGACGGGACGCTTTTTGTTTGTCTTTGGCTCGTGTGTTTGTGTGTTCAAGGTGAAAACCTGCTGATGGATGGGAGGAGTTCACTGCAGGTGTGAGGAGACTTCTGACACTTACATAGATCTATATATAAACACACACAATACACGTGATGTTTCATCCACAGTCATGCTGTCATTGGCATCCCAACTTTCCTTTCTGTTTGGCATCCGACACAGCGGTCAGCTACAGGGAGACACACACACACACGGATTAAAACAAATCAAACGAATGACTGTGGGATACCATTTACAACGGATATGACGAAAGTTTAAAATGAAGGTGAAGAGAAGAAAGACGCTGTTGTGCCAATCATTTTTCCCTAAAATCATCTCCCCTTTGGACCCCAAAGACTCCACTGGCTAATTGGTTATATGTGATATAACTAAATATATAGTTATATTCAGTTAGCTTGTGGTTAGCATGCTAACCGATTAGACTCTTACGAATTGAAAACACTGCATGAATTTAGCCCAGATTTTTGCTACTTCCTTTCTGTTTGGCATCCGACACAGCGGTCAGCTACAGGGAGACACACACACACACGGATTAAAACAAATCAAACGAATGACTGTGGGATACCATTTACAACGGATATGACGAAAGTTTAAAATGAAGGTGAAGAGAAGAAAGACGCTGTTGTGCCAATCATTTTTCCCTAAAATCATCTCCCCTTTGGAGCCCAAAGACTCCACTGGCTAATTGGTTATATGTGATAACTAAATATATAGTTATATTCAGTTAGCTTGTGGTTAAGCATGCTAACCGATTAGACCCTTACGAATTGAAAACACTGCATGAATTTAGCCCAGATTTTTGCTACGATTTACAGTCTGTGAATCAACACTAGTTGCTGAAAGGCAGAGCCAGTCTACAAATATTGGTCAGTCGTACTTTCACAAAGAAAATCAGTGTATGATGGATACAGACCCTGATCTTCAGACAATAGTTAATATCTATGCATTAATGTCACTCTGTTTTGCCCACATCAGGCTTTATTTTGCGATAAACCGACATACAGCAGACTGACTATAGACTATTGACTGTCCGCTGTGAAGTACTTATGACTAATTATGTGATCCCACATTGTTTTTTTGGGCTTGCAAACAACTAGCCTTCGGGGCGCAAGGGAATAGGATTTTGAGGAAAGAACTGAATATTGCACAACAACAGAAGAAGATGATTGTTATGGGAAAATGAGAAAAACTTTCAGGATGGAGACAGTGGCAGGCATTAAAGTGATGTTCGTCTGCATGAGATGTTGATTATAGGTCACACACTTTATCCATATTTGACCTTTGACACTGAACGGTGTTATCTTTTTATAATAGTCCTTACTGTAATGGGATGTAACAAATACAAATGGCTGCTAGTGTGTCGTTATATGGAAGGCCATTTCCACCACAGAAAATAAATAAATAAATTCTAATTAAAACCATGCTTTGGTAAATCATAATTATGACAGAAAATGAATGTGAAGTTATGAGATACTAAATCATAATTATAAGATAAAAAGTCCAATTATGAGATAAAAAGTCAATGAGTATAATTCCACCTTTAAATCCCTACGAGAAGAAAATAAAATTCAAACAGATTTTCCAAAACTCAAGAGTGATATGGCATACAGACTTGTACAAACTCACGTTCACTACAACACTGATGATAGTCTGCTTACTGGGCACGCGTCACCTGATAAAGCCTAAAATAAGCAGCCAATATTACTTTTTACTTTGACTCCTTGACATCAGACACATTTTGAGCAGGCGGTCTGTTCAGACACCTCTTTGTGATTTGGTTCAGACATTTAGGCCCAGCCTAGTTTGCCAACTCAGACTTAAGACAACACATAATATCACAGTGCTAAACACAAATCCATAAACTGGCAGCAAATTAAATTTACAGAGGTACTTTCGATTCCAATCCAATTAACTTCTAATGCACTCTAGCAAGCTTCTGCCAGCTGTCTAATGTCTCATCTGGTTGTGAGGGAAGGACAGAATATATATCATCTATTAGATGTGCATAGTAACATAACAGGACTGATAAACATCCATTTCAAATGCGGTTTAAAAACCTTATTTATTTACTTGTGTGTTTTAAAGAAATAAACCAAATACAAAACAACAAAAACACAAAAATAAAACAAAATAAATAGAGATTCAATAAACATTCATTATAATTACATTCACTAAAAATGTAAACAAAAACACTATAAAATATAAAAACAACAACATGATATAGAAATGGTAAATAAAATAAAAAACAATAAAAGTGATAATAAAATAAAAAATGATATTAAAAATAATAAAATAAAATACTGATTCAGCCGCAGTTGTTAGCTATTTTAGCTATTGATAAATTTACCATAAGTTAAAGAAATGTATTTGCCGCATATTTTTTTTTTCCAACTTACAATAACTTTGGGTCAAATAGTTGAAGTTGACAAATACAGTCAATACTAATTTGTGTAATGAATTGAATATGGAATTAATTATTAACTTTTCCCCCATCATGCTGTAGAAAAATGCCTAAATTATGTTACAATTTTATGAAAAATTCATAAAAAAAAAAAAAAGTAAATCAGATCGCACTCAAATTGTGGGACACAGTATGTTTTTTAGTACGTTATACTTAAATATGTAATTAAAGTCAATTAATTATTAATTTGGTAATTTATGTTTTAGGTTAATTATGCTGTAGTCTTTCAATTGTTGGTCACAGTCAGAAAGCCAAGTCCTCTTTCCATGCCGTGTTATTTTTACGCTACACAACGATTCATCAAAAGTGTCAGTTCTAAATATGCAATTTGTGCCTTTATTGTGTAAAAATTACAGGACGCCAAAATGTACCGTACTCTATTCATGGAAAGTGCCTTTTATCGTAATCCTCGGCGGTGTGGACTGTTTCGATCTGACGCTACATGTTTAGTGGAGTCCAGTTGTTTCAGCTCAGACTGAAGAGGAGGAAGAGGAAGTCTTCATCAGTGTCTCACTGCGGTCGACGCCTGGCGGAGACGAGCACCACAGAAGGGCAAAAGAAAGAAAAACTAGTTAAGAGAAGAACCGTCAGTGTGGATGATGGAGGGAGAGTCCTTTGAGCAGAATGAGAAGGAAATGTTAGTTTCACGTTTGAAACAGGAAGGTTAAATGACGAGATGTTCTGGTCCTCGGCAGAGCTTTACTTTGGTTTCAGGCCCGTTTGTTTCGACTACAGATGAGAGGGGCTTCCTAAACTTGGCGGCATACCTGTACCAACTTAAAGGGCAGAGAATCGAATGTGTTTGTCGAGTAAGAGTGGAGGTTTGTTTCAGCCTCGGGAAAGGGTTGCTGGACAGCCAGAG